AGAGTTTACTGGATGCAACAAGAGAATCGGGCTGAAGGTATTTTCACTGACAAAGATCAGCTTCCCAAGTGCAGAACAGAGGAAGTGGACAGGTGTTGAACACCATCACACCTCTGGAGTAACAGATTCCACTCTCCAGTCAAAGAGGAGGAAGAAAGAAGACACCTGCCATCAAAAATAATGGGCAGACAGGTCAATGGTGTTTAACTAAAATACAGACACCAGAGTGTGGTGTCCTCAAATAAGGATACTGACGTAATGTCGTAACTGAAATTTGGTGGGAAGAAAGCAACAGGACATGAACATCAGGATTAAGCATATAGGATGGACAGAATGATGCATGTTAGTATGAGAAATATATTCATGCCTCAAATGATTGGATTCTGAAAGTAGCAGCGTCCCTACAGATTAAAAATCCAGAGTTAACAGAAAAACAGAGATGTGCTCCACAGTATCAACTGTCTCAGCTAGGGTGACAATACTGGTTGCAATACACTGAGACAGGTCAAGAAGGCTGAAGGATCAGAAAGCATAATAAAAAGAATGGGATATTTCCACTATCTCCATGTCAATTAGACACATTGAGAATTAATTCCCTTATCATATTTTTGTACAGGAAACAATGACTGCTTTGGGAAACAAGTTGGCCGAGAAGAGAAGCAACTCTCGATTTGTTCTCTAAAAAACAATTTAAATCCTCACAAAAACCATATAAACCACTTTGGAAGCACAACAGGGGAGAGAAAAACCCCTTATCAACAAATACTTTAGAAAACGTAAAATAAAGTCAGCACACTAAGCAGTGAAAGGTAAATTACTAAAAGCAAGAATGCATTATTAAAAAAGCTGACACTTTTCCTTAAACATAGTTTTCTTCAGCTGGAAACATAGCTTGAATAAATACCTTCAAAATAAATCCTTCTTCATGCTTATGAAAATTATAAAGCTTTGCAGACAGGCTGTAGGGCCCGTAAACAGCTCTGAGTACAAAAGCAGCACCCAAGTTAATACAATTTCTATGGACCAGAGTGTCTTCTGGTCCACCACCTTGTCTTTACAGGGGACTTCAAACATCTGTGTCAGATGGAGGGTAAAAAGACCACGGAACGAGGAAACACCAAGCTACTGAGATCAGGCAAAACCTTCCTCTGCTTCACCTTCCTTCCCCAAGATGAAACAGCTTGACTAGCTTAAAATCTCCTGGTTCCTTAAGGCTGGTCTAGATCCTTTTCCTACCCACTATTATTCAAGCCCTACTGAAGTAGGAACAATTTCAGTACCCTCATTTCCATCTTCCATCAGGAAACCTAAGGCAGATTCAAGAGTTTAAGTTCTTCCCAAAAAGTCTGCCCTGAAGGCAGGGCAAGAACCTGTCCTGAATAGTTTTCCATTGATTTAAGTCAATCACAGAATCAACTGCTGAAAAATATTTGCAAAACTGCTTTCACTGTTGTTTTGACACACTAAAACTAGTTTCTGCTTGCCTGGAGACTAGCCCTTAACACAGCTTGCTCATCTAGTCATGCAACAAAAAGCTTCAATTTTGATTCAGCGTTAGCTCAGATCCAACCAGCAGTCTTATCTCTTTCAAGAGCTTTCTTACTACAGAAAACAGGCAACTTCAATATGCCAAGACTTAGCGAGACTGTGATCCCAAGAATTTCAAGAATTACATGTTAGCTTACATTATGTCTAGCTAATAATGCCAAAATTTGAACCAACACAGGCAGCTAAGTAAACCTTGATCCAGTTGATGCTGAAGAAGCTCCAAGAAAAATAAAAGTAGTTTTGGGACTAAGTAGAGAAATGAGAAAGCGCGTTGAATTTGCATATACAACCGTGTATACGTATGTATAGAAGTCTGCTTGCTCACGGCCCTAGACTTTCACATAACCAGAGACTATACAATAATAAACCAGTGATTCAATTGCTTTTAAAGCAAATTTTCACTTTAATGCTCATAAAAGTACTGGTTAACTAAACCTGCTTGAACATCTTCATACTCATATTGAGAGTCCTAAAAAAAAAAAAAGTGTCCTACATTACAAGTGAAATATGCATAAGGATTAAGTATAGTGTACAAAAATCTGTAATGTAGATGAACATTAGTCCTCAAAAAGCCAACATTCTATATCTCTGCAGGTACTAATATGTCTATCAGGCTTATAAGATGAGAAATTCTTTAGACCTGTCATAAAAGCTGAATGACAAATCAACCAATCACAAGGCAGCATTTACTCCATAGGAGTGTTCAGTGGCAGATGCACAGGCACATTTGCCCCTCCTGAGAACATTCCTTCCCAAGAATACACTGTTCCTGGCAACTAATGACTTGGGGAATTCTACAAAGTAAATACTACTAATAAACTTGCTTTAAGTTTGTCTTCCATCAACAAGCATTACGCATGCCTGCCCTCCATGACACCCTACAGCACAGTGCAAAAGAGTTCAGCTGCTCCGTGCCTTCAGTAAAGCTCAGCTTGCCCAATTTCTGAAGGCAGAGATGGCAGTATCCAGGAGGGAGTCTGTGGCAACCAGGCACCCCTCCCATCATGCTCTGTCCAGAGTTCTATCAGAGAGCACTGGGAACACACACAATTACACTGCATTTGCACAGAACCACAATTTCATAGCTCCCTGTGCAGCCTCAGTAATGTCACATCCTGAGGAGAATCAGCCTGTTGCCAAACTAATTCAGACTATTAGAAAATAGGATGAGTTCAGCTCCTAAAACAACTTCATCCGAACATTTGTAACATGACAAGTACAACATACTCCTACAAGGACTGAATTACATCTAGTGCTCATATGCTAGTGGCATTGCTTGCTTTAAAACACAGAATATCAGTGCTGGCAGTGGGAAGGTGGGGTGTTTGTAACAACAACAAACCACCCCACCACCTCAGGGTAGCTAAGTGACATCAGTATGCTTTTAATGGCTTAAAACAGCTTTTAAAAAGGCATTTTTAAAATCAAGATCCATGAGACACTTGCTAAGGTAAGCAGAACCAACATACAAATTATGTTTGCGAGCAATCGTGCAGGCACGTTTGACTGAAGGAGTAGTTATCACTTTCACAGGCATGCACCATCAGGTTTTGCCTCCTACTTGGCTACTTGCCAGCCTGCTTCAAGGCTGAAGCACCAGCTGTAACATACAAGTGATAGTAACCAAGGAGCATGAATTTTAAGCAGTTACGTCTTGGCACTAAGGTGCAGAAGAAGTAAAGTGGAAAGGCAACCACAGTGGAAAAGAATACAGCTGCAGAAATCAGACATCCTAACGCTGTGTGAGAGGTGCTAACTTTCTGTGAGATACTCAAACCATGATGGAATACCGTCACATCACCACAAGACACATGACTACTCATGCTAAGAGGAACACCCACCCTACCATCTTTCTCCTACTAGTGACAAAATGTTGGCCTAAAATAGCAATGCCAGTGCTCCCCCCAAACTCACAGCCTCCAGCAATTCAGTCCTCAGAGCAGTGGTTCAGTGGAAAGCTTCAACTGCTTCCAGACCCTTCTCTTCCTTGCCCACTGACTTCCTAATATGAAGAGTCCTTATCTATTTAATTGTTCATGAACTCTGGCCATACTTGTTGGCCCGTCTTCAAGGATGTTGGGCTGCTGTCTCCATCTTCAAGTTCAGAGCATTTGTTTGTAAGCACATAATACACTCAGGCATTCCAATAGATTTATGCAATGTCTTGGTAACACCTTCTCTTCCTTTAATAACTGTCAAGTTCTGATTTTTTTTGTAAGGTAAAGTTCTGGGAGAACTCTGTATTCAGAAGTGGTAGAACGGTCCAGTGACTTCTCTTAAACTTAAATCCTTCTTTTACTTCAATAACCGAGATACTTGAAAACAGACTCTAGAAAAGGCATCTAGTATTTTGGGGATTTGGAGGTGCAGCCCCCTAGCCCAGGAAATTCCACAAATGCACACATCTTTCTCCCACTCCGTTTCACAGCAATGGG